TCCTCTCCTCACTGTATCATGGGTGGGGTGGGGTCACAGACATTTATTGTCACTCAGGTGGGGAAGGGATGTGCCAAAGGAGTGCAGGAGAGACAAGGGACAGAATCAGGGTAAATTAGCCCCTAGCGCTGGTCTCTTCTTCAATTTGGATATCCTTGTTTTTTTGTCTTGCTAGCTAATCTGTCTAAAGTAGCACAGAATTCTAGAGGTTCCCATTTTGCTGGATGAAGAGAAAAGATATGACAGCCGCCGAGATGCGAGGGTGACCCTTTGGTGGGTGTCCCCCTGCTTGCTATGGAACATTAGCTTCCGAAGTGCTTCAGCACGCTCAGGCTCATTTTGATTGCTGGGCACGTGTTGGTAAGAGACTCTGCCCTCCTGCAGAGTATTTTCTCCAAGAGATGATCAGGGCTTTTATCTTCCCCATGTCTTGGTTACTTTTCTCTCGCTGCTGGGATAAAGTGCCTGACATCCAAAATTAAGGAAGGAAAGGTTTATTTAACTCATAGTTTGTGGAGGTGTTAGTCCGTTTATGACTGGCTCCAAGGCAGGGTAGCACATGGCAGAAGGCAGCCGTTCATGGTGGCTGAAAACAGCAAGAGCAAAAAGGGAGAAGCAGCGATCACAGCAACAGCAGAGGCAGAGGAAACCCTGTCTCCCTTCTTATGTGGCACCCGGGCTATCTGCCCCGGGATAGGTGTAGCACTCACACCCATAATCCCAGCAGCACTCCCACCAGTAATCCCAGCATTGGATCATGAATTAACCACAGCCTCTAGGAATCTGCACCATGACTGCATGAGACTTTGGGGGACAACTAGACACAAACCATAAAATGCCACCAGGTAGTAAATGGCGATGAAGTAGGAAGGTTTTCTTTGGTGTGACAAGGTGTGTGGGACAGTGCAGGCCATGAGAGCGCTCTAGGTCTGATGGATGTGGCAGCCTGTTTCACCCAAGTTGGGCACATAGGGAGGCAGCAGAGAGCAGGGGAGTGTCTAAGTTTGGGTGTCTTCAAGTGGCCGACCAGCCCTTATCTGTGATAAGACTTCTGGCAATCTGGTTTGGCCTGTGCACCAAAGACCAGGAGCACAGAGCCCTTGGAGCTTCACGTGTGACGGGCCCTGCCAGTCCTCCTGTACGGGCCTTGGCTTTCCAACCTCAGCAAAGTGTTCTGGTGTTTACTTAGCAGTCGGGGCAGGAATGAGTGCTTAATAGATCCAGAGTTGCCCTTCTGCCTGCATGTCGGTGTGAGAGCTCATTACTCATTAATATAATGCCGTATGCGTAGATTATTGCCATCCACCAGAGACTGACCTTTGAGCTTGGCCTTCCTGTATAAGAGATCACCAGGATATACCTGGCGAAATCGAAATGGATTCTCTAATTATTGCCCAGTCTGTTAGGAACCGAATGGCTACGCACACGAGCAGTTTCCTTGTCTGAGATATAAGTAGATGATTTCACTTGCAGGTTGTCTTTTCTACTGAGAGTTTGTCTGCAGTCAGGGAACAGTCAGTGTCGGGTGACTGTCTCCCATGAGTGCAGACTGTGGTCCAGGGGTTGTGGTTTCTTCTAAAGGATGGATGTGGGAAATTGGAACATTTTCCTGGTGTGTTCGCGGTAGGGAGTCTTTCCAAGGTTGCCACAGCACAGGCACTGCGCCCTCCTTGTGCTTGGCCTCGCTTTCTAAACAGCGCCCGCAGTGGACTCCGACAGGAGACCGGCCAGGGATGAAGGAGGTAGGAAGAGCTAGCCCTGGAGCTGGGGACCTGAGTTGCTGTTCTGGTGGCCTGTCCAGTGGGATCTGGGCGGAGAGGGCTAAGCTCAGCATACGGCAAAATGAATAGAGGGCCCAGAGAAAGCAAAATTTTTGGCGGTGTTTGCAGAAAGTCAGGCGCCGGGCTCACAGACGTGGGCCAAGGCAGTGCAGGCGTTTTAGGATGGTTGTGTTTGCTTCACGGAGCTTCTGTGGGGAGCAGCATACAGGAGTGAGCTTGCAGTGTCAGGAAAGGGGGTGAGCCCTCTAAGGCCAGGGAGTGGTTGTGCTTTATTACTGTGGAAGATGCGGCTTTTCATCAAGACAGCTGGTGCAGGAGGCCCTGTAGCCTCCTGGCTATATGCAGTGCATGTTCTTGGTCCTTCCTCCCTT